ACACAGTCGAACGTTGAAGCTTACACGGTTCGGATCGAGAGTCGAAGACGTCAATCGTGACTTAGAAGTTTCCGCGTAACGCGACGTAGCATAGCCAATGCAGGGTGGTTCGGAAATCATTCACGACGCCATTCGAGTGAGACCCTGCACTCCTCGAATGGGCCACGGTAGGGTGGTTAAGTCACACACTGTATACTGTTCGTGCGAGTCCTACACCCTCGAACGGGCCACGGTAGGGTGGTTAACGTACATACACTGTACACTGTTCGGGCGAGCCCTACACCCTCGAACAGGCCACGGTAGGGTGGTTAAACGTACACATCAACATGATCCGAGTGAGTCCTACATTCTCAACTCGATCATTGTGAATAATCTCACGCAACGTGAATTATCACTCAAAACGAACAACGCTGAGCGAGACTCTGTTCTCCTCAAATCGAACGACATTGAGCGAGACCTTGTTCTCCTCAAAACGATTCTCATTCAATACGCAATCAACACAACGTACACATACTCGTACACATTTTCACCGTAGAATCATTAACGAACACATATTTTTGTAAGGGGTTTTTTATGCCGCAAGGCTTTTTCCCCTAATTCGAATCGCTAGAGCCAATAAACGATCACGACTTTTCAGGCTCAATTGTGTCTAAACAATTTTTATTTACCCTCTTCCTCAATCGAATTCATATATTCCTTGAAACACGAAATTTCTCCATGTTGGACAGATTTCGACGATACAATCACATCCAATTAGTTCTTGATATATGCCTCGTTGAATAACTTGAAACTATCGCAGAGTTCGTTGATAAACTATATTTTTGGTGTGTTTGTCATAACAGAGAATGTGCAACCAATCCTGTGAACCATCTTTGGACAGAGCGACATAAAGTTGTCCATGTGAAAACATATCTGATGTGACATCTAAACCTGCCACTTTGTTTATTTGTTTTGATGTCATTTTTGCTGCCAGAATACACGTGAAATTGTGTTTAAGGTTTTGTGGTACTTCATCAATTTTGATCACCACGAAATCTGTTGCAAAACCATCTATAGCATCAGATATGATATGCAAAAATGAAAAAATATTTAGTAGTTTTGGCGTGAGAGCATAACGTACACTACCGTCCATAAGTATCCGGACACTAGCGAAATATGCATTCGCGTTGCATGAAAATTATTCAAGTATCTGCAACTGTAACTAAAATCGATTTTTTTTTCTGCGAAGGTCAGAATACTGAAACGTTTTTCCATTGATAATTCTCGTTTGGAACTCATATCTCTATGGAAAAGAAGCTACAGACGAACTAAACCGAAACTGTCGAATGCGTAGCGTTATCTCCATTCTTATCTCCGTTGAGGGAACCTAAACATCTACCAACAGTTTACAAACACTTGAAACATATCGAAGAACCCTCTGAATACGTTCTGCACCATAGAAATGAAACACAGTAGAAATAAAAATTTTTTTTAGAATCGAAAGCGTTTCATTAGATTCAGAAATTTGGACTTTGTACTTCTGGACATGAATTTTACTTTCACACTTTCATTGTATAATTTGTACTTAAAAATTAATTCTATTACGCTATGACACCTCAAAAAAGATAATAATAATTATTACAAATGATATGATAACCCTAAATACCTTTCGTACAAAGTTCAACTGTTTTATGTAACGAAACCAAGTGTCTGGATACTTATGGACGGTAGTGTACATAAAATTGAACTCAAAATATAAATAAAATTTGATTATTTCAAATGGAAGTACTATCAAAAATGAAAGACGACTTCTCAATTCGTACAAACAATTCGGTATTACCACGTCCTCACGTTTAATTAACACTTTAGTGACCATTCACACATGTGTGTAATGGTCGGGCCGACCGTTAGCGTCCGCTCACACATGTGTGTGATGAATTATGAATGTAAACAAGTGTGGATATTGCTATTGGCCTCGTATTTCACCGCTACATCTTTGATCTTAGGTAATTATTGTTTTATTGTCTGTTTTTAATTTTAGATTTTACGCTACACTGGTGTAGTATGTAAATTATGGAGCAAATGCCAGCGGCTCTATGTTGATGTCGTATCCAAAGCTACCATATTTTACAAATTAAATTGTGTGCATATTATTAAATTTGTTATTAAATTGTTATTGTTTTTTTATTTATGCGTATGTTCACACATTTTGAACTATTTCGTGCATTTGCATCAAGTTTGCTAAAATTAATTCTTCAAAAGTGTTGGCGACCCCTAGCGACGTTTGACTGCGTAAACGTGCAGCCATTAAAGAATTAACTTTGTAACTATCCCTATTAATTATAATTAATAACTGAACTATCAGTAGTGGAAAACTTTAAATTTTTTGCAAGTAGTATCACAATAAATTACAAGAAATAATCGAATGTAAATATATTCTAAGCTAGTGATTTTTTAATAGAAACTTCTACTTAAATGTAAGATGAAGGGGGGTAAGTTCGTAAACGGGGCAAGTGTGTATACAGGCTATTTTTATTACAATATGAACGAAATTTCTCCATTTAGTATGTTTGTTTCCATGTTTAATTTCACTATATCCCCTTTTACATTTCGGCTAAGCGTACTTGTTTGCAGTATAGAATACTTACATAATGCAGTAAAAAACATTTTATAGCAGATTTGTTAATAATTCTGCTCCTGCCCCATTGCATATGAAAGAAAGTTTCAAAGTATTTAACTTCAAGTTACGCTCTTACCCCATTTTCGGGGAAAGTGCAGAGTAGTTGACATTTTAAACAATTTCCTATCAAAATCAAAATGTACAAGGAAAATTAATGTCCTAGTTAATATTAATTAAATAGTAGTAATTGTGCAAAGCGTTCGATATCGATAGTGTTAAGTATTTACATAAAAGACTAAAAATACTTACATTTAAATACCAACTTTATAAAAACCAGTCTGCACTTACCCCACTTCACCTTATATATGTGCAACGAAATTAAATAATACATAAAGAATGATACAGTTTCATTTAAAAGAATTTACATATGTCCTCTACCTGTAACCCAAAATTAATCCCTCTAATCGTGACCTCTTCAAAAGCATTCTACTTGTTTGTAAGACTTTCATATTATAAAATGTGGCCTGGATATTGCGGGTGATAAAGTTAGGGGAGTCTGTTTACCAAATATATTTAAATCTCTATTGCAAACAAGAATCCAAGTTTATATTCAAATGAAGCTGAAATAACTTTAGTTAAGGTTTCTACAGAATATCGGAATGAAATTTAAATTTAAAATAAAATATTCGCGCGAACTGTTTGCATTGAACAGCAATTCACACGTGTTTCAGGCGCAGACTGAATGGCGGCGAAGCAAATTACCGAAAGTGTATTATCGTCCCATTAACTCGCCCGCATCGAAGTAATGACCAGGGAAGTAACAATGTAATTAACCAAACACGAACTTGTCCAATAAAGAACGTACAAACTGCATCGGTTGGGTACGCGTTTACGACTTGAGGATTTTATGAAATATCGAAAGTTTTGTCGTTAAGAAGAAAAAATCTACTTTACGCTCTTTCAGTTTTCACTTAAATACTTCTGGTCTTATCTGTATGGTGTGAAAAATATAATTTCACTTTGGTAACTCTTTTTCATTAGCTTGCCTGTATATTTACAGCATTCTTTTAAGAAGGGATGAAAAAGGAGTAACTGGTGAAATATATTATACGGGGGATGCAATAATATTAATCATGTTAAATATTTTTGTTATTTGTACATAAAATACTTTTCGTCTTTGTCTGGTTCTGGGACCGTTCTGTGATCGTTCAAACACTTTTTACTTTACGTATATTTATTCAAATAAATTCCGTAGATCAATTATGAATCGGGAATTTGCTTTCTTTAGTTAATTAAACGAGCATATAACTTAATATCTTAAAACGTGTTATTATCGAAGACACATGAAATTAATAACATTAATTTACTTGCATTACGTCAGATTTCATTAAGATATATTAGGTTACATTAAATTACATTGCGTTAAATTAGATTAAAGTGAGTTACATGAAATTAGGTTACGTTTCACTACATTAAATTTGGTATACATACATTAATCTTAGGTTACGTTAAAGATACAGGATAAGGTTAGGTTGCGTTATCCCAAAGAAGTTATAGTCAAATAAATGTCAAGCTAAATTAGGTTAAAGTATCTAATGTCTACTCACATCAGGTTAACCCTTGGTCACTTTTAAGACTCCAGCCACTAAAAACATTTCTTACAAAGCAGTCACTTATTATTTTAACTTAAACAAAATTATAAATAATCTGTGAAAGTTTTCATTTATCTCGCACTTGATTTCAGTAAATTTAAAAAAATTTAGAAACGTAAAAAATTGCAAGAAGTAACAGTTTTCACAGATAGACTCAAATCTTTTCTCATTTTAATGTGAAGAGATAAAATTTTAGCCGAATACACTTGGGATGTAACAGTTTTGGAGAAAAATATTAAGAGTGCCGATGTTTAAAAAGGGATTTCATAGATATCATTCATTCAGATTTTAAAGATATAAAAGGCTAAAATTGAAGCTAAATTGTCTGGGTTGTTTCATTCCCAGTGTGACCGTTAAGGATTAAAATTATATTAAGTAATGTTAGGTTATATTAAACCTACTTAGCTTACATTTGGCTACATTAATAATTGCAAACTCCGTATTCTTTCTTTTTAAAATACTTTAAATAATTAAAAATATCTCCCTGCTGTACTGTAATCTTTCTATGCACAGCTACAGTGTTTAATTATTATTCCTTTCATTATTCGTATATTCGAGCAAATAAATGTGTCGATGAAAATTCATCGCCGATAATCACGTGTCCTTGGCGATGAATGCAAAGCTGATGCTGGTGAAACGAGTATTGATGAAAACATTGTGCATAACTTCAGCACGTCAGTTCACAATATCGACGAAATTCAGCAACGGTGAAATAGTGTCGCGAAAACGTTATCGGTGAAATGATTGGTAATCGCAGAGCATCCCTTTCGATTGCAAATAGCAAATACATTGTTTAAGGTTTCTTCATTTCTCGCAGAATATTAATTACTTTAATCTGTGCAAATTATCGTTTTGTGCTGTTTCAGATTAGCCTTTAGGTAGAGTAACATAAGACATCACTTAATAAGTCCCCGGTCTGACACATATATGGCGACACTGGCGACAGACCCACGTTATTTTCGAATAATACTAACCTTCAAACAGTGCGCGTCAAAATTTCAGGATATTCTGACCAATAGTTTAGAAGTTACAGTCATTTTAGTACCCCCAGTTTCGTAATTTTGAAGACAATGGATAGAAAGGAATTTCGTGTGTTGGTTAAACACTGTTTTTTAATCGGAAAAAATACTGTTGAAGCCAAAAAGTGACTTGATAAGCATTGTAGGGACTCTGCACCAGGGAAATCAACTATCATTGACTGATATGCTGAATTTAAACGCGGTCGTACAAGCCCTGATGATGCTGAACGCTCTGGATGCCGAAAATCAGCAGTTGTTCCGGAAAACATAAAAAATGTCCACAAAATAGTTTTAAAAGACCGTAAACTTAAGTTGCGTGAGATAGCTGATGCCTTGAAGATATCAGAAGGCAGTGTCTTCACAATTTTGCATGAAAATTTGGGCATGTGCAAATTGCTTTCAAAGTGGGTGCCGCGTTTGCTGTTTCACGAAGGCAATACGCCGTGTCACAAGTCGATGAATACGATGGTTCAATTGAATGAATTACGTTTTGAATTGTTTCCCCACACACCGTACTCTCCAGATTTGGACCCCAGCGACTACTGGCTCTTTGCAGATATGAAAAAAATGCTCCAGGAAAAGAAATTTGGCTCAAATGAAGAAGTGATTGCGGAAACTGAGGCTTATTTTGGGGGCAAAGACAAATCGTTTAATATAAAGGGAATTGAAAAGTTAGAGGTGCGTTGGAATCAATGTATCACACTGGAAGGAATGTATATTCATGATTAAAGTGGAATTTCTAAAAAAAAATTTGTTTTTCTTAGTTAGACCGGAGACTTATTGAGTGACGTGCTATTTGTTTTATAAATACAATAATTATTGAGTTGAATTGATTTTTCTTTAGCAATTTCAACATGATCGGCTTTCTTCTTAATGTGAATATAACTGTTGGAAGCATGCAATTACTGTAATATGATAATGTTTACATATAATTGTACATATTGTAGAATAGTAGCAAGTAAATGATCTCTTGACTTTCAGATTACGTCACATTTCTAATTTAAAAGGGACTGAAAAGAAGGGAGCAAAAGAAGCAATATTCAAGCAAACTGAAGGAAAACAGGTGCACAAGAAGATAGGATGACTTAAAATGAATAATACTCCTGAGAACGTGACAAATTTAAACAAACAAATTAATGCAGAACGTAGAATAATAATAAATTCAGTACAAATCTTGCAAAATACAAATAGCTAGATAACATGTAGGGTGTCCCTATGTGTGTATAGAATTATGTGCTACGAATGAAATTTTTGTATTTTCTTTATATACAAAATCTTTAAATTATAAATTAAATCATATCTTTAAATTTGAAATTTAAAGACGGATAAAATTGAATAGTGGAAATAAAATTGTCCATACGCGTCATTTTTTTAAATCCATAATATCAATACAATGCATTATATTTATTTATTTTAATAGATTAAAATTTATTGTGTTAAAATGAACTTAATTAAAATGAAGAATATAAACGAGATGGTGTGACCAAATTAGCCTTTATTGAATATCAGGATGGTAAATTTAATGGAATTTGATTAAACAGTAACCAATCAACACAAATTAACAAGCACGTATAATGGCAGACATTAATACCATTAAGAACATCACTCTCGAGACATTTACCGTCACTGTTTTTGGATTAATTACTGTGCAAAACCGTTCAAGCCAATTGTTCTTGCAGCTGAAAATACGTGTGAGTCTAACCGTCCATTTTTCTGTTCTGATCAATTGGAGCCGCAGCTCTTCTAAACACCTGGGTCAGCCTCTTCACGCGCCAATTCGTGGGATGATATCGGTATGTTCGACACGTAGCTCTGGATAAAATAATAGGCAAAACAAAACTTTTTCTTCGGACTACGTGAAAATTGTCGTTTATCTCCAACTTATTGCCACAGTAAGATTTCTTCCTTTAATCTTTCCATCAGTTATTACATTCTGCCTACCACTTGTCTAGTTTGTATGAGTTTTTGCATTCAAGGTCACGTGAAGATCATAATATAGGTCGTTGAATTCGTTTTGATTTCAACTATTATGCCACCATAATGAAACTATGTTCTCTCATTTAAAATAACTTCGACGACAAAGACTGGTAATATGAAAAAATTTTCCTAACCTTCACAAAATTTGTCCCTCAGAAAAAAAATGGGTTTCCGCTTAGATCTTTCTCTATCATAAAAAATAAGCAAGGTATTCGAGGTGTTCAAGTTTGGTAGAACATCCTGTATTTAAAACTCGTACCTCATCTCATAAAGAATATTTGCTCAACACTAAACCTACCGGCATATAAGGTGTACTTAATTTGAAATTAAAAATGAAGTTAAAGAATAAATATACAACATTAGCACACACATTTATTCTTTATCTTAATGAAAATCAATGCTGATTTCAAGAAATGAACTTTGTTTAATGAACTTTGGTTTGGTAGTTTCAGTGTTAATGTACTTTTACATTTGAAATTATGTGTTCAAAGAATTTATAAAGGAATTGATTGCCTTACATATTAAGTGAAAAGATGATTATATAAAGTAAAGTATAGATTTAACAGAGGATTATGAAAGATAAAAAAAATGTGAATACGTCTGAAAGCAACAAACGCCTTTATAGCAGCAAATAATGCATAAAGTAAATGAAAATGTACACTAAAAGAACAACAACTGAGAGAGGGAATTGAGCGAATTTATCCAACTGTAGAGGATTATTCTGATCATACACTGGGAGAGTTTTTATGAAAACAGTATTGTATTAGTTTATTTTATATTACGTTATTTCTTTTAACAGTTTCCAATTATTTTATTATCACAAACATCGTCTTTGAGAAGAATGCGAAACAAACTTCTCCACTTACTGTTCGTTGACCATAAAAGGACATTTCTCCATATTTTGTGAGAATGAAAGATAACTTTGATTTTCTACTCGTTAATGCCTTCAAAAGGATCTTATTCAGCTTAAAACATTCTCTGTCATAATGTGCATTAAACTCATTTACGTTTCCAATAACAATAAATAAAATAACATTATATATTTGAAATATAAAGGATCATTCACATAAGTCAAATCCTAAAATTGCATTAACTAAAACGGTGATAGTTTCTCTGCAACAAGTGCAGATATATTTAGACAGTCGTCCTTTCTGCGAAATTTAATCGCAAGATTAATTCGTCCAGTTCTATAAATGCAATCCACTTCTTCAGGGTGGCTCACCACATTTTGCCACGATTTAGGACTTGCCTTTATACAGGGTGGCCCACCACACTTTGCCATCTAGATTTGCGTCATTATTATTACTCATAGCAAACAATGTTTTAGATGAAGTTGATGGTTTTGAGGGGGGCATATGCTGGTGGTATATTTTTTTTGTAGGTGAATGATTCTCCTAAACTAATGATTCTTTCACATAAATAGATTAATACTTTTTTGTAAAGAATATGAAGGAGTATCAGCTAATGCAATAAAAAATATATGATTCCATTTAAAAAAACATTAATGACCTTCATATGTCCTTTACACGTCCACCTGCAAAAAAAATATACCACCAGCATATGCCCTTTTCAAATCATTCAACTTCATCTAAAACATTGTTTGCTATGAGTAATAATAATGACGCAAATCTAGATGGCAAAGTGTGGTGGGCCACCCTGTATAAAGGCAAGTCCTAAATCCTTAAATTCCAAGCGTTTATAGCAGAAGTCATCTGCAAAATTCCTACTGATGAGTTCAACAGAGAAGACGTAACACTTGATTTTCTTTTACGTATTCATACTCCTTCCTCAACTTGTTTCCTTCTATCGTGAGATACGCGGTGAACATGGATCTGCACCTGAATGATGATACAAGAATCCTTTCTTTGCTGTGTTTGCTATAACACGAGACGTGAAATTGGCTTCCCAACCTGGGAGTCGAAAAGTTCCCCTAAATCAAACGAATTTAGGAGGAACACGTCCCAACTTGCTATTATAAGTTGTTCCCTTTCTACGAAAAGGGACAGAAAGGGGGAAGAAGTACACTTGAGGGCAAATCTGGCTTCCCCTGAAGAATGTTTAGTCAGTCAGACATATGGGAATTTCGAGACTACGGAGATTGGAAATTTGGAAGAGTGAGGACTTGGAAAATTGGGTGTTTAGAAATGTGGACATTTGGAAAAGGAGGAATCTGGGAATGTGCAGATTTGAGAATTTAGATATTTAGATATTTGATACGTTGGAAATTTGGAAATGTGAGAATTTAAGAACATAGAAACTTGAAAATTTGAGAATTTAGGAGTGTGAAGATTTGGAAGATTCAGTATTTAAAAAATTTGAAATTTGGGAACTTAGAGATTTGGGGATGTAAGGATTTGGGAACGTGATATTTTGAAAATTTAGATATTTAGAGATGTGGAAATTTGAAACGTAAGAATCTGCAAATGTCAGGATTTAGGAACGCAGAGACTTGGAAGTAGCAGGGTTTAAAAATATAGATATTTAGATATTTAGGTATTTATGAATATGGGAATGTAAGAATTTATGACTGTAACGATTTGGAAGTATCGATACTTAACACTAGAACTACCAACCAGTCAAAATGACTGGCTTCAGATTTCTCATTTTATATTACAAAATGTTATTCTCGTGATTTTATAGAAATGTCTGTCATATTTTGTTGAGGTAAAAACTAGTTCCATATGTTACTTGATTCTGTAGTATTTATTTATTTCCCCTTTCATTTTATTTTTCATTCTTTGATAAACGAGCATTTAATGTCGGTAGTTCTAAAATTTAGAAATATGGGGGTTTAGAAATAAGTACATTTAAAACAATTCTCCCTACAATCAATAAGTATGAAGTTATTTTAGATAATAGTTCTTATTGAAAATAGTATAGTTGTACATTTTGTAAAGGTGCACTATTACTAATTTTAGAGAAGGTAAAATTATCTGTAGACCAGTACATGCATTAATAGTAAATGTAAAGGATAATCGTCGCGCCAGATGAATAAAGTTTCACACGCAAAGTCAAATATAGGAATCAAGATCGCGTGACAGATAAAAGTAGCTCGACATTTGGAAACAGGTCCTTCTGGGGAAAGTCTACTCTATGATTTTAGAACAGATGATTCAGTATAAATTTAAAAACATTAATTTTGTTTTGTCTCCTTTGAAGGTACATTTATTTTACTCATACAATCATTGCTTAATATGATCACTGCTTGATACTAGAAATTAAGTTAATTTTTATGACAAACCTTCATTTTAAACAACCAAAACTTTTTTGTAAATCAATTGATTAGGCATGTAAGAAAGCTCTTGTAGTTTTTAGGTCTTTTGATTGTGAAACACAATCCACACATTCTTATAACAAATATTAACTAGAAAATTTTAAGAAATATTGAATTATAGTTGAGCAAGTTATAAAGCATTGCTTCATTTACCAAGTGATGTTAAGGTTATTTCTATTGATTAAAACATCTAATATTTAAAAGAACTATGACAAAATCTAAATTTCAAATAAATTCAAAAAGAGTGATGATCATTTCTGTTCCAAATAAACGTGTTCCAAAACGTACATTGTTTTATGTCCGTTGATGATAATATTATATCATTCTAATTACTCGATTATAAGAAACATTTGATGAATTATATTTAAAAAGTTTTATTACAAAAAAATTCGTAATTTGCTACTCATCTAAGTTTGGTAGGTCCTTGAATGTATAAAGGTGTATGTATCATTGTCTGCAGTTTAACAATTTTCAAATACATCATTCTCAAATGACCAGAAACTTCTAATGTTAGCAACTAATTCCGTAATTCGTTTAAGCATAAAGAAATTCGATAACAGTCATAACTAGCAATCTTCAACAAAGAAACTTGTAGCTCGTCCTTTAGAACATTGATTTCGCAACTTTGTCGCTACTTTACACGCTCAGTACCTTAATTTAATTCTAAATTTAACTTTGAATCGATACGGCCCACTTATCCGGTATATTCTTCCATCCAAACGCTGCTAAGTTGTGCAAATATTACTTTGATTTTGAAATAACTTATGTACTTCTCGTATCTTTCTGTAGTGTGCCATAGATCTAACAACTTTGATGCCTGTATTCTTTCCTTT